TATAATATGTGTGTGTGTAGAAGTGAATCATTTACTGCTTGCAAACCAAGGATGGTAAGATGATGTCATGGGGTAGGACTGGATAAGTCTGACTTCTTCCTACTCCATTCAAGCATGTACTAGGTATAAGCAAATTGATATTGGATTAGCATTTGTTGGATATGTGTAAAATTATGTGTGTTGACATATCAACTGTCTTTACATGCTTGAAAGAATAAATCAAATCAAATGCTAATGACCTCCTGTGCACTGTGAAATGTGTTTACACCCCTACTAAAGGTTTACAACACACCAGATACTATCAAGAGATTTGTTAGTTGGATTTTGTTTGCTTTTCAGTCAGCCAGTGTGTTTATAGCCCAGCCTGAGATTAATTTTTGGAAGACAATATTTGAGACATCTCATAGCCTCCTTACCATTGTCAGCGAAGCCAGTGGCTGTAATGATCGGCACAGCCACCATTACAAGCCCGCTGGCACTCCACACATACTTCATGAGGAACTGCTCAATCATGATGTACCAGAGGCGCTTGGAGAGGATCAGGTTCATCTGATCTGCCAGAGCCCGGTAGCACTTTTGCAGCTGACACATCTCCACCTGCGATGAACAGTATATTACAGTATATAGAACTATAGTCACTTCTTGCATTTTTTTGTGATGGCACATTGTGTTGAACCTGTACTGACAACTTGCCTGCCTGGAATTATCCATCTGATTGCACTGACAAACAAGTCAAGACACCATATGAACTTTGTTATTGGCTGTGCTTATGCCTGATCATCTTAAATATGTCATGTTGCTTATAACAAGACTCTACCTGTATAAATGCCAAGAGCAGAATAAACGGTAAATAAAACCAAATTAATTAGTTCTCATGCGCTTGTTGTATAATAGGCACAATAACTGACCCCTGCGTACCGTATGTCCCCTGTAAAAAGCAATTTCCTCGGCATTTGCAATGATCCTGGAGTGCACATAGCGTAGGTAACCCTTCCTATGAGCCTCCTCGGCCACCAGTTTGCCAAACCTGGGCGAGCATGCACGCAGGACCATAGCCGTGGCAAAGACTACCAGCCCGGCCAGCAGGGTCGGTCCGGTGGCGTTGGCCCCCCTGGACCTGGCGGTCTGGATCAGCGTGTAGGAGGTCAGCATCACGTCCAGTATAGGCTTTGTGAGGTTAGAATAGAGATGGGCAACAGACTGGGAAAACATCATTACGTCCTCGGTGAGGGACTGGTCCGGGTTGGCAAGCCTCCCATCCATGTTGCTGACTTTGTAGTAGGTCTGATCCGTGAAGTAGGTCCGGTAGGCATGGTTCACCAGCCGGGTGCGGAAAGCCAGAGCCAGTTTGCACTCCAGGTACCGGATGACGCTGTTGACGAACGTGGCCGGGATGGCAATGAGGAGCCATTTCACCAGCTGGATGATAAATCTCTTGGGTTTCTTCTCTACGATCGTTTTGACAATCTTGCCATCTAAGCTGGCCACATATATAGACAGAAACGTCCTGGATATCAGCGCCACAGAGTGCAAGGAGAGCAAACCGAGCTCTTTGGACACGAGGTTTGGGAAGAGGATTTTACCGAGTTCGAGGATCTGCTTGAAAAATGCTGCATTTACCCCTGGGGATATTTTCTTATGATCCACTGCATCTATCTGTGATTTTCCCGACCAAACCGAGCCATTCTTCGCCTTTGAAACATCTGGGTTATTCCTGGGATTTCTGTTTTTGCAGAGCTGCTTGTAAATAATGGGGCATAGAGTTTTGACACCGTAAGCAGCAGCCGCAAGAAACACGGCTCGTTTCGCCGCAGCCGTGCGGTCCCATCTCGCTTTGGACGCCGCATCGAGGATGCTGGACATTTTAAAAACGTTACTCGTTTCTGCTGACAATCCTTATAACACCCATCGTCCAAACCCGACTTACCACGTCGATATAAAAACAGAGAGGGACTTTTAATGGCTGGATTGATATGAACCGAACCCGATACAGCTACATTCTGTTCGTGCTATGCAAGCGTCTATTAAAACAAGTTACAAAAACTGCACTTCCGGTTATAACTGTCAAAATAAAAACTCATAGCCGACTCCTAGCAGAGCTAAACGGACACGTACACTATGTAAAACGGTGATGTTAGCGGTTTTACTTCATGAAGTCAATTCACATTACTTCCTGACCTTTTGTAGTTGTTTTCGCTATTTTGATGCAGTTTATTTCCGCTCTACGCCTTTTCAATGGCTTTTCTCATTGGTCGCGCCCTCGGCTAAAGACCATTGGTTGCGTAGTGGATGTAAAGCATCACTGTAGTTTCTATTCGTTTTTGGGAAGTTATGTTGCACTGAAGTTTTCCTTCCAGGAAATTGTATTCTTTTAAAGAACATTAACAGATTTTACACATGTGCATTTAACTGTTATATACGATTAAGAACATTTCTGAGGTGCGCGTGAGAGGATAGGGGGTTTTCCTTACGCACATTTGTCTAAACAGCGTTACGTTAGCTATGTAGCACAACGTTAAACTACCAGTATTTAGAGCTTTGATAAACATTGGAGCTTTATTGATTTTACACTCGCAGCGGTTAAGTTTTTATTGTATTTAATGGTCATTTCCGTTAAAAATGAATTGGGTTGGTGGTTCAAGGTAAGAGAGGAGAATGTTTACTTACTAAAGTTAACTGCTTACTATCATATAGATACTAGCTATGCTACATAACATGAACGCTATCAACTCTCACTGCAGGAACCGGTTAGTGATGAAGAATAATGCGAAAAAGCAGAAGGTGAGGTAGCCAAACAAAATGGCCATGGTTTAATGAGAAGGTAATAGATGCAGTCTTATTTGCGCATGTCCAGCTCCAGAATGATTTGCTATGTTCTCCCAGGAGTTCTTTGAAAAGAGGAAAATGCAACAGAAACTTAAAGACTTGGGAATAGCCTTGCCAGTATCTCCTCGAGGAACTAGTTCTGGTAGTATGGACCTGATGACTTTGTTTATTGTCAACCAGATTGCTGCTAAGAAAGAAATTAAAGGTGAGAACTCTTGTTGGTACATAAGCCTTAATTCAACACACAAATAATGAACAGGAGATGCCATAAAGCAGAAGATGCATTTAAGGATTAAAATCCAGAGTACCCAACCCACTTTATACTATTACATAGGAAAACGTTATTTGTGTTTTCCAGATCCTCCTAAAGTGACAGTTCTTGGCAGCTATAAAGGAGGATCCAAGCATAAAAGGAATGAGCCCTTGGTGCTCCCAGTGATCCCCTGTTCTCCTTCACAGCTGAGTCTTGTTGATAGCCAGTCTCAGTACAGGTAAAGCTGGAGTGTAAGTTGTCTAAAAGCACCTGTGTAATATTTCCCAGTTTATATTGTGATGTTTGATTGTGTCAGTATCACTTCCTTTATTGCAGTAGAATCCACTTAAGTAACCAAACTGCATGAGGTAGCATCAGTGGTGGATACCTGAAATCTGAATACTGAATGCCTTGTCAGTGATAAGTCATCTTCCAGCATTCATTGTATCTATGTCAATATCTAGCATTCAAGGAATGAGAAAGAGAAAGAATGTCATTCCACAAGAGTTCAAGTGTCAGCAGGTTAGTCATGTTCCAATAGTTCATACTGTGCTTTTTAAACTGTTCTATATTTCAGCAAAATTTGCTGAACAGGAAAAAAATGTTAGAACCCTTCGGGTAAGAAGTTACTTACTTTTCTGTTCCTTAGCTGTCTCCGGTGCTGGAGTCGGCTTTCTCAGACAACAGTGCATCTGACTACCTGCCACCCATAGCTGACCCTCTCAGTCCCTTTTCCTCCACTTCATCAGTTTCCTCGGGCCAAGGTGGTGTTGTAAACTATTTTATAAGCTCAAAACTGCAAGAAAAAATTACTCTGTGTTAATTGTGCATTTTCTATTGTGCATGAGGATATTTAATGCAGTCAGACACTTCGTTTAGGCCAAATTAAATTACTCTCTTCAGGAGTATTACCCCTGCAGCTGAACCTTCAGCAGAGAAGCCAAACACAGGTGCAGCCACCACCCAACTGCTCCTCTCCACCCTGGGATACCTCAGGACTAGAGCAGGCCAAGGTAGTGAAAAGAGATTATTCTTATTTAAGAATTATCTGACATAGATTTTACAACAGTATTCTATGGTGATACTTTCCCTATTTCACAATGATGCCTGTAAATAGTGTGTTTCATTCTGTGATTTTTAGGGAGCTTGCTGGCAAAATGACAGCAGTAAGACAGAGAGTACTATGTACAGATTGTATTTAAGGGATGTCACTATTAAAGTTATGACACTGATAATGTCCCATCATCTAATAGCATTTATTAAACGGGCATAAAAACAACTGACTCCATACAGTATGTAGCTTCATATGCCATACTTGAACTAATTTATCCTGACAATGTTCCAACTAAATCTTAACAAAGCAAGGAATCCATTTGACCATCTAGTCCACATTGTGACTACTGTACTCTTACCCATAATACAGTGTGAAAGAGGGGTCAGAGAGACTAACCATTAGCATCTATTCCAGGGCTCTATTTGTGAACTCCTATGAAGGTTCGGACATTTGAAGCATGACACCCCCCAAACATGATTCCAGTCTAATATCATGTCTGACTTTTGTTTTTTGTTTTTTTGCTAGTTTCAGCCTTTCTCCCAGCCCAGAGGTCTGACAGCCAATATTCCATGGTCGTGTGGATCAAGCCCGCCCCTCTGTGAACTGGAGACACCAACAGCAGCCCAAGTCCTGTTTGGATGTCCAGAACCAGAGTGAGAACAACACTAGAATGTAGATGGATTATGTCCTGTCCTTGATTTAACTGGTCATTTTGTGTGTGTTATCACAGCAAAACTGAGGTAAGAGGCAGTGGAGGACATGAAGTCAGGTTTGCTTTCAACCAACCAGAAGACAACGAGCCCATGCTGGACTTCATGCTTCATCAGTTGGAAACTGAGCAACAGTGTGAGGAGGATGCCTTTAAGGGCTTCAGTAATGAAGAGAATGAAAGAGAAGGTAGCTTCTCCTTGAAATATTTAATTCAGCACAATGACCTTTTATTTTCAGGTTAACATTAAATTTAATTTTAGGTTTTCATTTAGAAAGATCAAACATATATCTCCAGGATGAAACACCAGTCCGGTCTTCAGCACCGCAGTAAGTGTTTAGAACGTAAAATGTAATCTGATCATTTGTTCTAGTATGCTTTGAATTTGTGCTAATGTTGGGTTTTCTGTCTTTACTGTCAGAACTGTCCCTGTCTCACATTGCATGGGGGCAGAGGTAAGCTCCTTCAGACATCCAAATGCATTGTTAGAGTTTCATTGCCTCCAAGTGGCAGAGTTTGTAACTGCCATTGAACTGAAAACAAACAATGAAAATCTGTTAACTAGATGATTAGGAGCATTTAACCTGGCTCTATGTTCATCATGAGCTGTTGTACAGAGCTTCTAACACTATTTGTCTACAATCACCAGCCACTTTATTAAGTACAGCAGTACAACTGTATGCAATTCAATTTAACAGTTCGATATTAACATCTGTGTTTATGAATCTCAAAATGTTTCACTTTTGGTGAAATTGTCATAAATGTATACATTCAATTATATATTTGTTATTGAGGTCATAGTTATAGGTGGTGTTGTACTGGACTACATTATATTTAGAGGTGTCTTCATTTTTGTCCTCCCCAACTGCAGTACATACATGACAGGGTCAGAATATTAGGAACACCTTTGAATATACGTATGTAGTCCAGTACAGTGCCACCTCAATAATAAATAAATAGTTGGATTTTTACATTTATGTCAATTTCACCAATAACTGAAACATTTTCAGCTTCCTGAACACAGGTGATAAGGCAGAAGTGTTGCATTGAATTACATACAGTTGTACATGTGTACCTAATTAAGTGGCTGTTGTGTGCATGTACTGTACCCTGATAAGAGTGTATTGTATATGAGGTGCACCTTTGATCAGAGTATTTGCTCTTTTACATATTAATTCTGTTATATTTACAGCTGGCCAACACTAACATTAACTGTTGTAAGTTTCTTAAGCATTTCTAATTAAGCAACACATTTATTCTGTACTATATGTTAGAGGAAGAACAAAAAATTGAATGGGTATTTTTTTTTTATCCCACAGTATATTCTGGACACAACTCTGGTCCCATGAATGGCTGTGAATATTTGCCACATTACACTTGTGTAGGAGATGGTCTTAGCTCAGACTCGAATGATGTAAGTTAAGTTACTGGGATGTTTTGTTCATCTTGCTTCTGTACTGTGGCTGTAGATTGACCTCACAAAAAAGACTTTGCCAGTGAGGTAAACCTGTTTCAAATAGGTTCAAGTATCAAGTCACTTTTCTCTTACTGAAAAACACTGGGGTGTTTTCCTTTTCTAACTGTATTTTAGGATGAAGAATTCTGTCAGCCATGCCACCAGACTTCAGGTTCTTTATATACTCATCAAGCCTGGTGTGAAGATACCCCAAACCCAAACCAGGGCTCACAGGAGAAACAACAACAAGAAACACACTCGCAGCCCATGCCCTTTACCCCACTCATAAAACTCACAATGAACCTCAGAGATGGTCAGAAAATTATAGAGAATGTGGCCTGTCCAGATAAAGCTCATGGAAATAATGGCCAGCAGACAGGAAGCAGCACAGCTCAAATTTTATCTCCTCACCCTCTGGCTCTAACTCAGAGCTCTTGGCTTTGTAAATACCAAAAAACAGCCAGTGAAACTCAAGATGCAGGAACTCAAACAGTCGACATCCCCACAGCTGAGACACGCAACGCCTCGACTCAGTGCAACAGTGTGACCAAAGCCGCTCGATTCAACGTGTATCTACCACCTGCTGGCATGTTAGTACAACATCCAGCCACAGGGAGGCAGACTGATACTGCTGCAGTGCCAAACACACACACAGCTTCATCAGGCAGCTCAGGGAATGGAGGGAAGAAAAAGAAATTCAAGTCTCATTCCCTGTCTGGCAGCAGCACTATAAACAAATTCAGTGACGGCATAGTGATCCTAAAATGGCCCATAACCCCCTTAGTAGATGCTCAGAGCATTACTGACAGCAGAGGTATAAGATGCAAGTGAAATATTAAGTGTGTCACCTCGTGTATACATTGAGAGGACCTTAAAATTTATATTCACATTTTTGCAGGCAAAAAGAAAAGTACACTGATTGTATTAAACACATTTTTCTACTCTCTTGTTTCAGATTTTGGTAAGAAGAGTGGAGAGAGCAGAGAAGAGAGAGGGCAACAAGAAGATGGTTCTATGATGAAGGACCTCTCAAATGAAGTGAGAAATGAGGTCACACCTGCCACCAGAGTTAACGGACTCTTAGAAGAGGCCAACACTCCATGAAATAGCCGACATTTTGCTCCTGCTCAAGCAGAGGAAGAAGGATGTATAAAGGCAATAGGAAATAAAAAAAAAAATACATGCCTGTTCTGTGCATGTTTTTTCAATTCAAAGCTTTATTTAACAGTTTAAGTACCACATAAATATTCACAGTGTTGGTTCTTAGTGTTACAATAGAGACACAATGAAGTAAAGTTCCAGAATTTTACTATGATTCATATATTTATTTCTTTCCCCATATACATATTTAAGTGTTAATGTTTCATGAAGATATTTATTTTATACAATATAAACTCTAGCAAAACATTTGCAGTTTGGAACAATAATCAAATATACTATACAGCACTGTTTTTCTGAATATCTTTGTAGTTCTTTGTAAACTGTAGAAACACATAGTGAAATTGTTGCAGTTGCAACCTAAGTACACATTGGTAGAGGACAGTGTCAACACAACCATTTGTTAAGGGCTGAACAGCACATTAACCTATGCAGCCTGAAAAATCACCTTAAATATTTGGTCGACACTACTTTTCATTACACAATCTCTGTAATGAAGCAACAGATTAATCTATGTGTTTTGTTTATAGTAATACTTTCTGTAATAGCAGGTTCAGTAAAATGAAAAAAAAAAAAAAAAAAAAAAAAAAACTAGTTTGTGTGGTTTTAGGACAAGTCCTCTGGGACCAAATAAAACTAACAGTTACAAGCACACTTTGAGTCTGAGTTGGATATTTTTCTCCACCTTCCAGCCCAGAGAATCTAACTGAACAGGTTAATATGCCACATTATAGCAAGAATTAAGTTGTAAGTCTGAACTACAATTCTCAATATAAAAAAACTGGTCCAAGTCAATATTCTTTCTCTGATAACTAAGTGAACATAATATGCATGATGTTAACGGAGCATACATCAGTATTTTGCATGTTTTAGCCAGACAGCTACAAATCACAGGTGCTTTTACATAGTTGCTGATCATTTTCAGAAGCATAGCACATATTTTTGTTCTTATTGTTTTTGTGCTGAGAATGCATTGCTTTAACTGATAATCAAAACAATGCATGGCATGCTTTGGAAACTGATCAGCAAATATAAAATAGTGATTTCCAACTAATGGGCTGAATTTGGTCCTTTAGAGCTGCTTTGTGAACTTGTGTTTTATAATTGTGTTTAAAAGACAGTTGTGTTTCCACATGTGAATACTAGGATGTCATGTTTTTACTTTGTTGCCAATTCAGAAAGGTAATATGATACAATAGTCTTTTATACTGATCTACTATGTCAGTGTTTTTAAAACCCCCCCCCCCCCCCCCCCAAAAAAAAATCACAATACTTGATACAAATAAAATTCAGTTTTGAGATGTTACTGAAAATGTCGCTACAGGGTGTCATAGCATTTGATGCCAGTTTCATATTTGAAATGTAGTTATTAAATTTATTTATTTATGATGAGTTAGCACCCACATGCCAAAAGTAATTAACTGTCCTTAATCTGCCATGCCTGTTCACCGAACAGAGTAAGCCCGTTAATCCTTTATTTACTTGTTTTGTTACTTCATTGTCTACTCTCAAACTGTTTTTGCTACACAGAAACCTACATGCATTTGACTAATGAGGTGTAACCTCACAGAGTTTAATAACTTTACGGGACAACACTGGTAAATCACCCTAAAGCCTACTTTTCAATGTCTGACACAAGAACTCATAAATGATATGCTCTGCTGTTTGTACATAGGCTGTGGATGAAGACAAAAATAAAAAAACATGTTAAAATATTCCATCACTGGAATATTTATAAAAATAAAAAGCGCTATGCAGGTGTAGTGTATTTATTGTAACATGATATAGCACATGTGAAAATGGCCCTTAGGCATTTTCACAACACACAGGCACTAATATTGTCATGTTAAGACAGAATAAAATACTTAAAAATCTCAACTATAAAACAAAGGTTTACATTATCACTACAGACGTAACAGACTGGTGGTCTTTGCTGGATAGCAAAGTACATTCAGCAATAATAACCAGCAATGCGTCATGGCACACGCAGGTTTATAACATTGGTTCAAAGTGTAAGTTTTAACAAACCTCGTGACAGAGTGATGGGAAACTATACTTTCTATAATATTGTCTTAGAAACAGCTATTTTTAGAGGCAGGTATGCAATAACACAGAAGGCCTGAAAATCATAAAAACCTGAATGAGAACAGAACTACTGCTGCTATTCTACTTTTGGCTGTTCCCGTTAGGGGTTGCCACAGAGAATTCAATTTGCATGACTAAATTTGGCACGTTTTTACACTGGATGCCCTTCCTGACACAACCCTCTCTATTTATCCGGGCTTGGGATAAAGGAGAACAGAACATTTTATTCAAATAAACAAACCATAGCAACAGTGGCTATGTAGAATTTTTCAGGCACCCACTGACAATACAAGTTTGCTAAAACAATATTTTGTACATCTCTGGTGTTTGCTTTTCATAAAAATATCAGAGCCAGCATAAACTAAGACTGTTATCACGAGAACCTGACAATAGTGTGCTATGCAACAAACTTAAGGAGCCCATGGCATGCTTTTCCTTGTTTTCTGACTTATCTACAATGTTAGAACAGTGAAATATCATCTTAGATGTGACCTAAAGCTAAAAAAATGAGGGGTAGGTACATATGTTGTAATACTTCTATGCAGAAGCAACTCAATTTATACAAGTCTTGCAAACTCTCGCTTGTAAGACTTTTTTTCTAACAATATAAAGTATTACATGATAGTTTAAGGATTTCTTTGAATAGGTATAAAATCCAGGCCATTGCTTGTTTGTGTGAGCTTGCCTGACATCCACCGGTGCCATTGTAAAAGCGGAATGTTTTGACTATATGCAGTTTTGTGGGATATAGTTTACCGCCTGCTGCCTGCATTATGACCAGGGGATGTGGAGAAAAAAACTGGGCCTGAGGTTATTGCATGCCCGGGAATGTTCCTGTACAGGGATTTGCTGTTTTACCTGACTGGGTCTAACCTGGCCAGTGAAGTACCCCAGGGTGGTGAATGATCAGCTCATCAACACTGGAATCCCCCAGAGCACAGTACCTGTTTGTTTTGATCGCTTGAGACCAATGTCTCTGCCCCGTGTGATGTGATGTGGGTTAACGAGCGGATTGTAACGATCCATGATGTTATTGTTGGTGCTATGCTACCTGTTGGAATTAATCTCACTACTTTGGGATTATGTGTGGTTGTGTTTTGGGAAGACGCAGTGATCACTGTTTGGATTTACTGACCTTGGTGCTACTTGAAAGGGAATGATGTTTCCACTACTTGGTGGGACTTAGCAGTAAGTTAAAAAAACGTGTTGCATATGTTAATGTATTGTTTATGTAAGGTTAGAGGGAATTGTTGTAAGGCTGGAGAAGTTGCTATTGTGGCGACCCTGACCGGCCGCTGATGTTCGTGTGTTCTGTTGTGTGCAAATGGGTTTGACAATGTTATTGAAGGCTGTTCATGTATTGGTTACCGCTGTTTTCTAGCAAAATGCCGCGCTGTTCTGGCCCATGTGGGATGGGGGGAGGAACAGGTGCGGGAGGGTATAAGAGGAATGACAGGTGGGCGTGTTGTTTTAGGTTCTGTTGGCGGGCGATGGGGAAGTTCGGGAAGAGACCTGTAATGTTCTGTTTTTGTTACTTTTTCCAGTGAGCACACAGTGCTGCGTTTTACAACCCTTTTCTTTCGTGTTTTTGTACGCCTGAATAAAGCCAAGAAAAGACAGAGACAGTGTTCTCCTCATTGTCAGTCTAGGTGCCAGCACACAGCTGGATAGTAGTTGCACAGTTAGGTTAGGATCGGACCAGCTCTCCTCAACCCAGCCAGCGGTCGTCACACTATGTATACATTATGGCAGTTCAAATACGGGGTCTCTCAATTACAAGTATTACAAATATCTTTTCATTAGTATATATACCATTATTTACCTATGTATGGAGGAGAAATTCAAATTAATTAATGCTGTTGCAGTTTGTCATGCTGTCCACTTTTGACACAACACCGGCAGCAGGAGGTGTGCGCGTTCACAAACTGTCCTCTCATTTTTAGGAAGAAGATCTCTGGTTTTATCCTTCTGAAATAGTTAAGAGTATTTGGAGTTATGATGGATGCAAAGCTAATCTAGAGGTACCCAAGATTAAACATTAAATGGCTGGAAATGAGCATGTCATGAGCTCTTTAAATGACATTTAGCAGAGATGTGTTTCATATAGAAAGGCATAAAGGTACTACAGACATAATTGCTGTCATGTCAGCAATGGGTTTATGAATGTACAAACCTATTTCTGAAATCACATTTACTGTACCTTTTTCAGTTCTTATTGGAAACATATTCTGACATGATGCTCAAGGAAGTAAAACTTTGATATCTTACACACATCATATATGAATCATGTCATAATGGTATGGGCATTCAAGATTAGGTGAGAGAGAAACAGTATTTCAATTTTTCTGTATGTCTTGCACATATAGTGAACTGACAATAGGAAATCTTTGATCTTTGATCTTGATCTTAATATTTACTCAGCAAATGTGCAAAGTATAAAGGACATCTTCCTGACATGGAGCCACACCCCTTTTGTAAATTAAATCAACAATGCTGGACTTCATGAGGGCAAAGGAGTCCCTTATACATTATATAATTCAGTATGTGTTCAGCAGTCATGTTTCCTGTCCATGTCTTTGTTGTTTATATCTGGAAAAGCAACATTGTAGCCTTTGGTTGAAATACTGTATTTGTGTTGCCTAGTTGAGAATTCAGCAGGTTTGGTGTCAGTTTATCCTCAGTTTAGATAACAGGATGGAAACATTCATACTCCTTCTGCTAACTGCTAAAAGCACTGTTGCTGATTTTAGGCTGCTGAATTGACTGATTTGAAAATGAACAAACTCACAAACAAAGCCTTTTAAACTCTTCTTTTTAACCTCATAATGAGGGGAAACTAGTGGTTCTTCAGCTCACACACAAAACAACCAAAATATTACAGATGTGACTACCCTGCATATTTCAGTAATCATCAAAGCTCAAAGCTAATGAAACACCCAGAAGGAGGTTACCAATGGTGTTACACTCACTAGTCCACATCTGATGCGTCATTGTCTGATAAATGGTAGTTTGAACCTTTGACTCGTATGTACTCAACCTGCCGTCCCTCATCTGAATCTGAGGCACCACATGAACAAAGCTGATTTTCGAACAATGCCTCAATCTCCTCCAGACGCCGGCCTTTGGTCTCCGGCAGGCAGCCAAAGATGAAGATGAAACCCAGCAAGGCTAGGCTGGAGTAGAGGAAGAAAGCTCCTGGGTGGACAAAACAAAAGAGCACATTGTCACTAAGGACAGCCACACATAAACACAAGAAACACACTGCCACGACTTTTATAAGCCGAGTCACTTTTTCTACATTATTTTACTTGTTCTCATTTATCAACAGAAAAAAGAAACACTGATGGTGACAAGAGATACTAAGGGCAGCTGAAATTCTATTTTGACTGCTCCTGACCTTGTAATATATAGATATGTATGTGTGCTGTAAAATGAAAATATTTTACCAAATTGAAATATTGCTTTCACACTGCTGGTCACCATATGATAAATGTGCAGTAAAAGTAACCTGCGCCTGTCAAAGTGGCATTACAGCAAGGTTAACAAGGGAAGGAAATAACTACGTAGAGACAAAGGCACGTGGAATTAAGGGTTCACACAGAAACAGTGACAGAGGTTTAATGAGATTTTCTGGCCATAATGATCTCTTTTTTCCCCTTGCCAAAGAATGACATTTTTAAGTTACAACCAAGTGTGCATTATACTAAATATCATTTGTATGTCAGCATCATTATGTTTTTAAGCTCTGTTGAATGATCCTTATAAAGTGGATGACAGGGTGAATAACTCAAAGTGGTCAGCATCTCTGGATGTCTCCACAATCACCCCTGATGGATCAGTTATGAGCTCCATAAAAGGTAGGTTCCTTCCTTCCTATCTGAGGAGAAACCTGCTGCTGAGTGATGCTAACTGGGGAGGTATGGAAGAGGTTTGGGGGAAACACTGTTGGCAACCCCTCAGGGAACCAGTCAGCTGTTTCTTCCTTGTTGGTCTTGATTTAAGGTAAAGGTGAATGCATGTTACACAGGATCAGCTTGGGAGTTTCTTAAAGACTAATATAACTAGATGAGGACTGACAGGACTGTTTAGCTGGATTAAAATGACATGAATTAAGTTTGGCTGGGGTTATAACAAAGAAAATCAGAAGCTAACCATAGTATGTGAAGTACTGAGCCAGGTGGAGGAAGGTGAGAGACACCAGGATGTTGAAGGTCCAGTTGACTCCAGCTGCACAGGCATTCCCTGTGCTCCTCGCCCATAGAGGGTAGATTTCTGAGTTGATGGTCCATGGCATTGGGCCCATCCCTGAGAGGATCAGATGAAAAATTATCCTAGTGCTATTTTTATGAAGAGGAGGTGCATTAACTATGATTTTACACATGGGACAGGAGGTGGTGTCTCTACCCACCTCCATGACACTCTGCTGCCTATGTGCAGTAGCTTCTGTTGTTATTTCAGCTTTGCTACTCTGTGTTGTTAAAATACGGTGCATAAATTAGCCCTGCCTGCCCCTTAGCGAAGGTTATAAGAAGCTTTTTTTTCCAAATTGTGAGTAGTCATTTCAAATACCCAGAAATAGAGGAGCTCTCTGCAGCTAAAAGTTCAAAGCAGTGGTGTATAACATGCACAAAGTTTTAAAAGAGAATCCACTAGTGTTTGTATTTGATGCCCAATGCAACAAGACCAGTTCTGCATTTATGTGATAGAGTAAAAAAGCAAGATTTATATGTCTGCATCACTGCACGTATAAGGACATATGCATTTGTCATACAGAGATGGTTGCATAGCTTTTGCATTTATACTTGTGCAAATGTTCTAACTGGGGGCACTAAAACAGCTAAGTACAGGGAAGAAGAAGAAATCAGAAAACAGAAACAGTAGAGATTTTGAGCCAGGCTCAAAGCTGTTATCATTTTCAACCTAGAACTGGTATTATAGGCGGCACAGTGGCACAGTGGCTAGTGCTGTTGCCTCACAGCAAGAAGGTTCCGGGGTTCAAGCCTGTGCAGAGTTTGCATGTTCTCCCTGTGCCTGCATGGGTTCTCTCTGGGTACTCCAGCTTCCACCCACAGCTCAAAAACATGCTGCTTAGGTTGACTGGTGACACTAAATTGCCCGTAGGACTGAATGTGAGTGTGTGATGGTATATGGTTTTTCTACATGCCAGACCTGTGATAGACTAGAAACCTGTCCAAGGTGTACCCCACCTCTCACCCAATGTCAGCTGGGATCGGATCCCATAGGTTCTTCAACCTGTTGTGCACCTGTGACTTGTTTGCTGATGCTTTGTCAAGTACCTTTGGTGTCCATAAGAGGAGCCAGAGGCACTTGGAACAGCATCAATGTTTGACACCCTAGGATGCGAACATGCTGGCAAGTTACAATACAAATATGTTATGTTATGCTATGTTATATTGGGTTTGACAATAGAGAGGGACAAGCATTATTGAAAATATGAAAATCCCAATGATATGAATCCCCAGTGTAGTGCTAGACAGACTAAAATATACCTGGAGCGAAGGCAGCCAGGTAGAGCACCAGGCCCAGTAACACCAGCCAGGAGTAGGAGGTGGGACAGTAGTTGTAGGCCCAATAGGTCTGATGACTCATCAGGCTAGAGTTGGAACATCTGGAAGAAGGAGGCATCATCAGTGGCTTTTGTTCAAGGTGAAATATTAGGCCACACATTAGAAGCTTTATTTATTGTCATTGTAACATTGTGACACGTACAACGAAATTGTGTTTGGATCTGAGGGCCCCAGGCTGCTGCGTGCATATGTGCCACCATCACGGGCAATGGGGGGGTTCAGTGTCTTGCCCAAGAACACTTCGACATGTGGATTGCAGGCACCGAGATTCAAGCCTTCAACCTTTTAGTTGGGAGACTACCTCTCTACCCG